CGTCCGCAGACACCCCTGCCACTCGCCTGCCAGCTGGATCCATCCCCGGCAAAGCTGCCTGAGCAGGATGGATACAGGATGCCCATCAGGCAGGAGCAGGGCTGAGGTTTCCAGGACAAGAGTTTTGATCCAAGCACCCAGCATCTCCAGCACAGTCGGCTTTCTAAGCACAAAGCTACACAGGAAAGCTGTTTGAGGAGTGCAACCCTGCGGTTTGTTACAGCACCGTCTCTTCCTGTTTGGAACCCACCAAAGCACCAATCGAGGGATAAGGGAAGTAAAAGAGAATATGGCTCAAACTTTCCGCTGAATCCCTAGAAGTTTCAGCTTTTACATGCCGTGTTGTCTTTTCATAATGAAGTCACACTGCAATTATAAATGAGAGTGACTTGGCTGTGCTTGTTTGTTTTTAACTTGCAATTATTACAAGGTTTATCACTTATTTGTTATAAGGCATGGTGCGAGCCAGCGCTGCAGCAGCGCCAGAAATGATGAACTTCCTGCAGAATGCACTGGCCTGACAAGGCTGAATCAGAAACTAATTAAACTGGGAGCTGGGTTAAGTGCAAGGGAACTGAACCTCAGCTGTTGCAAACAAGCAAAATTCTTCCTTTATTGCAATAATCTTTATTCATGGATCCAGAGTCTTGCTTTCTGAGTAATACGAAAGCAAAAAGGAATCAGGTCACAATGCTGCTATTCACCAGGCTTCTCTGATGCCAGGAGAGGAAGGAATTAGTTCAGTCCATGCTTCTACCCAGTGATTTATTTGTCAGATTTTCACGGAAATATGCTATCAGTTCAAGAAATGCTCAACCATGTACCTTACCACGATAGTGCTTAATTCCCATTGACATGGGACTCATGCATGCATTGAAGACCTTTCCTGAATCACCTTATACTGTTATATTATCCTCTTATTTTCTCCAGTAAAACACCTCGGTGTTGCCAAAGCACACCCAGCAACAGAGGCAAAACTAATCCTAGAGACGGCAAATCAGAGGGGCTGGAGCCCGGGCAGGGCGAGGATGCTCCTGCGGTGAGGCAGGGACCGACGAGGGCTGTCTTGGACGGTATTTTGCCGCAGCCCAGCAGTGCTGCGGGAAGAGGTGATATTAAATCAATAGCAGCAATGGTCAGAGACCAGCAAACCGCAGGGGTCCGGGGCCCTCCCAGGCGGCGTGAGCGGCACTAGCACAGCTTTGCCGAAGGTTGCATCTAGAGTGGAACAGCTCCAAATCATTTTTATGGGTGATAATAAAAATGTGTTACCACATAATCAACACAAAACAGTGGCAACGGTATCCTTTTCATTAAAACAACATGTTTTAAATGAGCGCTCTGCTGATAAATGCTGTAAAAGATTTAAAGGCATGCACAGAATAATCCAGTACGCTCTTTTATAAATGGACTATATATACTTAGCAGTCATTAAGGCTCGAACCATAGTAACCAGTTTATTTTCCCTGGGCACAAAATGATAGAGGTCAGGAAGTCTCCAGGCTTGAAATTACTGAGAAATTCTAGTTTTTATGATTGGGAGCAAAGAAGTGCCCAAAAGAAACAAAGTAGAAAGAAGAGAGCTCTCACATCCGTGAGATCCACAAAGCCAAACTAAAGAAGGAAAAGCACGAGGGATTTAGTCACACTCAAAATCTCAAACTATACACAGTTCTTCCAGCAAGGAGTGTCCTCTCATACGCTAGCACAGCACAAATGGGTCCTTGCGCGTTATTGCAATAGCATTGGAGCCATTCATCTATTTTCTGTCACGTTCTGTTTTTCTTAAGGCTGCCATTGCTGTAGTCAAGGGACTCGAGGAGAATTCCCACTTTCATTAAACAAAAAAAGAAAGTTTCTAACCCTCTGAGTAAACTGCTGGAAAATGATACCACAGAGGCTCACAGCCAGAAAGCAAATTAGCAAAATGTGCAATGTATTAAAGTCTCAGTATTAAAGTCTTGGTATTTTCTAGTCAATAAGGTCAAGGTGGAGAGGGGGATAACACCAACCGAGGAAGAATGTGTGGCTCTGACTGGAAACCCTCACGGCAAGCAGCACCCACCTCTGCTACTATTACCACTTCCAATGCAAAAGTTCTTTGGAAAAAAATGGAGAAGAGGCAGAAAACACCCTCAGGCCACCATATGACATGAAATATGTCTTGATGCCATGGGTAACGTTAGCGACCCAACCAACCAGAGCAGGGACAGACAACCAGCTGCGGGGCAGCACTTGCGGCTGCTGCCTGTGGCGTCAGGAGGGCAGATCCCTGCAGAAGACATCACGGCCTTTCCTCCCCAGTTTGTGCCACGTTGCACAAGGTGCAAGATGGCCCCAACTCGGCAAAACACTCCGGCTTTTGTCTTTTTGCACGTGTGGAAGCAAAAAGTCAAATCTGAGCCTAAATGGACAGGCTGAACTGGAGCCTCTGGCAAGAGAGGTCCCACCAGCATGAGGGCTTGTCTCTGGTTTCCAGACCCCACCTCTCAGGCGCAGCTGAACTGGGTCAGAAAGCTGGAAAGAGCTGAAACGGGGCCGCGTCTCCTGCCAACACCGCAGCGGGAGACGGGCCCGATGTAGGAGATGGCGTGTGAAGGCGAAGGGAATGCAGGAGGGATGACGCACCGTGCTGGCCCCAGAGCTCGCAGGCCAGCGCCAGCGGCAGAGGTTATTGCCTGCAAAACTCACCCCTGGGCCCTGCGAGTCCCGCAGAGCTGCCGGGCTCACCTCTGTACAGGATCTGGCACTTGCTCTTCACCATGGGGCTCGCTCACGCGCAGGGCCCTCAGCAGGGACACGAGTATTATGTGCCTGAAGCTCAGTCCCAGCTTACTCAACCCACCTCCCCCTTTTCTATTTGCCAGCATAAACTTTCTAAACTTCAGACACATACCACATTTCTTGCGTCAGATCAAAAGCTCAGGCCAGGGACAATGGAAATGGGAGGAAGATTTTCATCTTCTTGAGATGTTCAGTGTCAGAGGACTTTTTTTGGCTTGTAGTGGCTTTCAAGAACCCTATTTCGGTTGTTCCCGCACATCAAAAGAAGATTTCACAAACACAGCCTCCTCCCATCATCTGTCCTCCACTTGCATTCCTGATGTTCTGTAACTAGTAGGTGCTAGAAACAAGGAAAGAACAGCCGTGCTTCCAAAGATTTCAAAATTGATACAACGGGGTTCAGAACACTTTTTCTTTGGATAAAAATCCATAGAAATGCAGGCGGAATCATTCGACATAATCCAGATGGATATTATTAATTAATAAACAGGGGATATTTGGTCTCTTGAAGCACTGGCAGAATTAACTCCCCTCCATCCCTCTCGAAAGAGGAGGGAAAGAAACTGCATGAATCCAGCTCATCAGCTAAAAATTTCAGTGTAAAATAAGACTCCCTTGATCTTGTAAAGACACAAGCTGATTAATAATGGTAATTGCATAACTTGTTGGATGTATCTTTCTTTATAGCAAATTATTTGGCAAACTACAAGAGTTTTTTAATCATTCATCAAGACACAGAGCTAAACAGGGAGTTTACAAAATCTGATGGAGAATGGTATCTCTCTTGCAGCAATATGAAACCTGTGAACGCATGGCTCCAACGCAGATGCAATTGCTTGGTTTCAAAAGCCAAAAGACATTCAGTAAGTGTCCACTAAAATCTGATGAACCGGGTGCCCAGAGAGAACCTGGGTGACTTCATTCTTCTTACATCTTAGAGGCTTTGGCCAAAGGGGACAAGATAA